GGCCCGCTCACCGGCCCTCAGGGAGTACCCCCGGCCCGGCCCTGGAGGAGCGGGAGGAAGGGTCGGCCTCGCCAGGCCTGTTGTCGGGTGTGGACGCGGCTGTTTGCGCAGAGATAATGGCTCAGTTCGCCCGGCACTTTGTTTATAATCTTATTCTCGTCTTGGATACTTTTTTTGGCTACCATTTATAATCTTATATAGGTCTTGGATATTTCTTTTGTGTGTTGCAAGGCCTAATAGAATATATAGAGATATAAACTTTACAGAAGATGGGGACCATGGCTTGTGAGGAGTAGCTGAGGGACCTGGGGGTGTTTAGTCTGCAGAAGAGAAGGCTCAGGGGAGACCTGGCTCTCGACAGCTCCCAGAAAAGAGGTTGGAGTGAGGTGGGCGTTGGTCTCTTTTCCCGAGTGACTAGTGATAGGATGAGAGAAAATGGGCTTAAGTTGTGCCAGTGGATGTTTCAGTTGGATACGAGGAAGAATTTCTTTCCTGCCAGAGTGGTGAGGCATTGGCCCAGGCTGGCCAGGGGCTGGAGTCACCCTCCCTGGACAGGTTCAGAAAACATGTGGATGTGGTACTTGGGGCCATGGTTTAGTCGTCATAGTAGTGTTGGGTTGACGGTTGGACTTGATGATCTGAGAGGTCTTTTCCAACCTTCATGATTCTATACTGTTGCTTCCCACATCCTTCTCTTCATTTTTCGTCTGGGACCTTTATAGCTTCATTCTCAGCTGTGATAGAAATGGTTGGGTATTGCTCAGTTAGTAGCAGAAGAGGGCTAGATTTTTTTAAATAAGTATGGGAAAGGTTAGTTTTCATGTTAGAGCTGGTTGGCTACAGTAGAACTCTCAGAGTTTGCTTATGTGATCTCAGAAGCTGTTCTGATAACTGCGTGTTTTAAGATGATGGCAGTTGCTTAGCACAGCTGGATGTGATGGGGCAACTGTGAACTATTTTTCTTCCCCAAAAGGATTGTCCAGGCCCATCCCAGGCTGCCCAGGGCAGTGGTGGAGTCCCCATCCCTGGAGGGGTTTCCAAGCCGTGGAGATGTGGTGCTGAGGGACATGGGTCAGTGGGGACCTGGCAGTG